AATCTGAAGCAGGCTCTGTCAGCACACATCCCGATGTGGGGCCTGAACCCACGAACCTGGAATCATGACCTGAGCCAAGATTGGACGCTTAGCCGACTGAGCCACCCAGGTGCCCCATGAATTTGGAATTGTTTTTGAATGCTGTATTGGTTATTTTGTTTGTAAATTCCTACACACACAGTCTCCTTACTAAAAAGTTCAGTTCCTGAAGGTGTGTTCAGAAGGCTAGAGTAGGGGCTAGTGTCACCATGTCCGGACAGAGTTAAGTTTTGAAAGAGCTGTATGTTTTGTTTCTTTCTAGTTTTTCACTTCTTACAATCGCTATAAGCACTCTCACTTCATTTGCACTTAAGGGAAGAGATGGAATCAGTGTTCGTAAAACCATTCGAAAATAAGTGCAAATGCAATACAGAAAGCCAACAAAGGACTTGACAAACCAAAATGACAGAACACAGCCGGAAACGCTCTTTGATGGTGACAGGCCGAGGCGCTTTTTCTTACTTCCTTCCCCTGGCTTCTTTGTTATTTCTTTGCAAGTCCCTGAGATCAGATAGCTTACAGAAGAGGCTGTTTCCGCTGTACCCCTCTTTCCCACATTACATACACATGGGCTTGTGCAGACACACATGCCACAGATGCTTTGTAAGTGATAGGCTGCTTTCAGATTAGTTTGGTTGGAAAAATCAGATGGAGACTCTCTTTCTAAAACCCATTTCATGCAAGGCAGGCAAATTGTGTCCTCATTTTCTATTGTCTCTGGCTTCATCTGTAATCAGCAAATGCAGCCCTGCCGCTGAGACAGTGCTTCATCTGCAGTTTGTCGCTCTCCCCTAGTCTGCACAACACTGAACCATCTCATTTTGAAATTCAGGAGTGGCAGAAGGCGGCTTTGGTGAGAGATTATAATTTGAGAGCAGGGAAAGTCAAGAGCAAGATCACCTGTTTTGTGGAAGCCTGGGTGTTGAAGGAAATAGTCGGTCTCCTGAGCCTCTCCACGCGTGTGCCACTGTGACCCTCCCCTCCATCGCCAATGACCTAAAAATCACATAATTTCAACTACTCATGAAACCTATTCCCATCTGTTATGCGTGGCTTGTGTGCTTACCCCCTCGATTGCCAGCAAATATGTCTAAATCTTTTTACTTCCTAGCCAGCCTTCTGTTGTTGGCTGGCTGGCTTTCTTGCTTGCTTCCCTGATTGTCAAATGAATGCCTTAAAACATTTTCTTCCAGACATCTTCCTTATTCTTCTGACCTCCCTACTCTCCCTCCCAGTGTTTGTCTGCTAAATGCTTCCTCTGCCAAGCATGGGGCACAGTCACCTTGTTTTCCAAAAGCACTGCAGGTCATTTGGATGGACACTAATTTTCTCTGGGAATTGCCAGCCTGCATCTGGTAGACAAGTGAGCCGACTGGCCTTTGAAAGTCATCATTCGTTGAGGGTAAAGATTTATTCTATAAACCACACAGTTTCATTCCCACATTGTAGCGGTGCTTTGTAGACCACCCAGGTTTCTTTCAGGAAATTCTTAAATTAGTTGCTCATAGTTTGTTGGTGAATGGATATATGCACACATACACACGCATATAATCATGTGCATAGCTCTTCAGAATGTTGTAAGGTGAGTAATTTATAATCAGTCTTTTTGTCTTTGATTCTTGTCGCTCATAGTGGACATTTTTTTGTCATTTTTCCTCCAAGACATTCAGTGAGACATTACATGATTATTTTACTTTATACATGGTAAGTAGCCAGTAAAATGTTTACAGAGGGAAAGAATAAACAGCAGCCTGGTTTATTCAAGAATTATACCAAAGTGTCTATGCAGCAATTTATAAATAAAATGATATCTTTGAGAGAATAAAGGTAATTTCTCATCTTTGGAAATATAAACTGCTTATATAATAAAAACCTTTTAAAGACTCTTGATTTCTTACCTCTTAAACCACCACCTTTACACACACTTTGATCCTTTCTCACCTCCTCTTCCCCCACCAACACCCTCCAGAGTTGAAAATCTCAATATTAAGTGGAACTAAGATGATTGTACTTGCTGCTGCTAAGACTTCGGCAGGTCTCTTACAAGCTAATGTCACGGCATGGGGTCCATTTGCTCTGTGTAGCTATTCTGTGGTGCGGTGAGAATGCCTTGATTAATATGCTACATGAAAATAAAATGGATTTGGAAAAAATTATACCATACTCTCATAAATATTAATTCACATTTGTATGGAATTGCACGTAATTTTCAATATACTTTGGAGCACCTTCCGTATGAAAGGAGATTTGGTCTCCAAAGAGAATGGCATAATTTTTTTAAAAGCGCAGTTGATACATTATTAAGTATCATTTGTTTATTAATCTGATACTCTACATGCATATAATGTGGGCAGTAGGTGGGTTGTGTGACAAAGAGAGGAGTGTTTTTTTTTTTTTTTAACCCCGTGGGGAGTTGCTACATTACTCTTAGCAGAAATAGTACAACTGAGCACATTGCTTAGAAGCAGTCCACGATGCAACTCACCTGGCTGCTTCTGCTAGCATTGCGTCATTCCTGAGTATCTTTTCATGATAACTGACTGTTTTGGTTGCATGTGATGTTAAACGCAGCGTAGTTTGAGCTGAGCAGATGTCTGACATAGCTGACTGTGGTAGTGGACGCTGGAGAAAGGAATAAATACAGCAGACATTTATTGAACACTTACCATGTGTTAGGCATAGTGTACAAGGTTCTGAGACTGTGGAATCAATGCCCATGTGATCACTTCGATCCCAACTTGTCCCCTAAACACTGACCACCACATCCTCGTTGGCCCGGAGAGCTGCCTCTTCAATGGCAGAGGGTAAATCATCTGCACTGACAGCAGCTAGAAGTTAGACCAGAAGCCACTCATTTGCCTTATGAGATTGGTATTTTTGATGTCTTCTTGCTCCAGGGATAAGGCCTTTTACCCCTTCTGGGGTTTCTTGCTGTTTGCTGTGATCTTGTTTCAGCGATGCCTGCTAGGTTCCTTGGTTCCCTGTTTCAGTGAACTTTTCCAGTTTGCTTCACTCTGTGGTAGTGCCAGCTTGGGGTGTTGTTAACTCACTGTTGTGGCTTAATAGGTTTGGATAGTTTAACCAGTTGTCTTACTTATTTATCTAGCAAACATGAACATATATACCACCTGTTATTTGCCTGACTCTCTATGTGAAGCATTGGGGTTACTGAGATGAATGGTAACTTAGTCTGTGCCCTGATTCTTTTAAGGGGTCATGCTGCCAGCTGCCTCAGGGCCTTGGCATAAACTGTTCTCTCTGCTCAGACTTTCAGAACTAGGTCAAATGGTAGTCATCTCCTCAGCACCAACCCACTCTGCTGGATGAGACCATTTCCCCCAATTTTAGCTCCTTTTTCCTTTCCTTTAGAGCAGATAGTTCAGTTTGCAGTGAACTATTTGTGTGATTTGATTAGTATTTGTCCCTAAATTTTAAGCTCCATGAGGTGGGGATTTTTTCCACACAGGATTGTTTACCCAGTGCCTCTGGGACAATGCCAAGTTTGTACCTGGTATGGACTGGGTGCACACAGAATACTTGTTGAATGTGTGATGGCTTGAGAACAGCACTTTGCATTATAAGAAAGGTCTTCCTGAATGGGCAGCCCTGGTAAGAGTCCTTTAGGAAATGGGTGTGTGTGTGGACAGCAGGGCTTTGAGGCAGATGTAAAGGCCCCAGGTTCCGTACTCATTAGTATCAGCCCTGGCTGATCTGGGGAAAGAGCTTGAGGAACAGCGTGTATGTCAAATGGGCAGTGCTGGATATTGGGAAGCAGTAGGATAGAGAACTCCCCAGGGACAGAAGACTGTAAAGGAGGAGAGAGGGGGAAGGGGTAGGGGAGGTGGGAGAAGGGAAGGGGAAGAGAGGGAGAGAGAGAGGTATTTTTAAGGAGAAGGTAAAGGGAAACTTCCCTTTTAGTTACTGTTTGTTTTAATGTACATTTGTTTAGGACCACGGAAACAATTTATTTGTATGGGAGGTGAGGCTCCATGAAGGAGCATTGTTGTGTAAATAGGATCATGTCTACTGATTTACAAGTGACTGAGTGCTAAGTCTCTTTTAATTTCAGTGCTTAATGTGTACAACATTTCTTAGGGTTCAAAGGACATTCACTCATGTCATACCAGTGGAATACTTCAAGTGTCCTAAGGAATAATGGCAGTGTCAGGCTGTGGACCCAGGTCTTTTAGTATTTCAGTAGATTCTGAGCTGTCTGCAGGCCCAGAGCTCGCTAGATCTCATAGCCTCAAGTGCCCACCTCTAGGCTCTACAGATGCTGCTTCCTATTCCAGGACATCCATTACCCTTCTCCTACCCTTTCTACCCGCCCCGCCCAACCACACACAACAATAAATGAAAAGTTGCTGTAGATCTTGGTGATAATATTGTTGTTACATTTTGCAGAGAACTGGGAATTAAGGATGCTCAGAGGAACTTGTGGTAAAAATATATAATGCATTGAGGAAACATTTTAATCATATGAATTGATAGTTTCTTTCTTGCTGGCTCATATCCACCTGGCCTGGTATAGTCGGTCTTTTTTTTTTTTTTTTTTTTTTTTTTTTTTTATCACGCATGCACTTAGTACTTCTTTTCTGAAACATAATTGATGTACCTACTTGGAAAGTGAGTGTATTGAGCCTCCTTGGGGAATGTCATTGTGTGCTGGACCTAGCTGAGAATCACACTGAAAGCCACTAAGCAGTGAAATCACTTTTAATGGACAGATGCTTTGTGCTTTGTTGACTTTTCTGCCCAACCAGAATAGAAAGGATCTATTTGTGGTGGCATTAGGGATTCAGAAAAATTGAGAGCCATGTTTCTCAGTTTTAGGTATTCTCATATCCTGCTTTCCTGCTTTCTCCTCTCCCTTCTTATAACCCCATTTAGCCTGTGTTTTGGATGTGACCTTAGACACCTGTGTAACCATCATTTCCCTTTCCTTCTCTTCTTTTCTATAGAAAGATGTAGCACTTAAGCCTCAGGAACGTGTGGAGAAACGCCAGACCCCTCTGACCAAGAAGAAACGAGAAGCACTTACTAACGGCCTGGCCTTTCATTCTAAGAAGAGTAGACTCAGCCACCCACATCATTACAGCTCAGACCGAGAGAATGACCGCAACCTCTGCCAGCACCTTGGGAAGAGGAAGAAGATGCCGAAGGGACTCAGACAGGTGAGGAAGTGTGGGTTTGTCCTTTTCTGTGGCTAGAAGATCCCTGCTTCAGATACCTGCCCCTCTGTGGTTCTTCCTGACAGGTGGAGAAGACATCCTCGTTGGGCTGCTGGAGGGTTGCCCCTCAGAGTTGTGTAAACAAGCCAAGCTCAGAGTTTTTATTACTTTTGAAACTTCAGCGTTGGTATCCTTGTCGTCAGATGTGTTCACTGCAACAAAGCTTGATGCTGGTGCTACTGGTGTGTGGGGCAGACTGGCTGGCAGGGCAGAGATCTTCATAATTGGGAGCAATGGAACGGGCATGTGTGATCACATACATTGTGGATTTCAAGGTTCTGAGGTGTTAAAAATGTTTGTCCACACGCAGGCAGTGCCTTGCATCAGATTTCTGCTTTCCAGAGCAGCTCAAGTATTGTGGCATGTGGGAGAGCAGTGGCGAAGACACGAAATTGCCTTTCAGTTCTTCAGCTGTTCTCATGGTCCATAATTCAGGACTGTCTTTGTGATCTGCTGATTGTATGAAAGTCTGGTGATAGGGCCTACTGGTCTGTTAATAATTAGGTTTCAGTGATCCACAAGAAAATATAGCTCTTGGCATTTGGGGAGCCTTTCTGCCTGTGGAAATCCCCACATGAGATAGATTAATAATGAGAAACGAAGCTGTTTATAGCAATTTTTTCTGCACAAATCCAGAGGCTTTAGTGCCAGCTGAGTTACCTGTGTCCTGGGTGTGTTTTGTTTGTTTTTGGCGGGACCATTGGGTGGGATTGACTATCACTTGAAGGAAGCAGAGGAAGGGAATGTGGTTCACAGAGCAGGTGCTGCTAATTAGAAGGCAAACAGGTAATTTCCAGTTTGCAGATGTTTCTTTGCAGAGGGAGAAATCCGGGATCTTATAAAACAGTGGTTCCAAAGCTTCACAGATCATTAGAATCATATTATGAGTGTTAGTAAACACACACTTCTGGCCCCTCCTCAGGACCTAATCTCTAGGGGGCAAGGCACAGAACTTGGTGGTCTTAGAAATTTCCCTATGTGATAACGGCCAGGCCAGTTTGGAAATCATTCTTCTAAAGCATCAAGAGTGAATTTTTGGTGGTGATTTTTAGTGAAAAGATTGGAAAGAGCAAAAGGCTCAATATGATGTAGCCTCTGCAATTAGACCTGGGGTCACAGTTCAGACTGATGGGTAATGAGAGAGGTATATTGCCGAGAAAACATCTAAAGTGATGGATGTCAGTCAGCGTGGACGCAGAAGGATCTCAGGGAAGCGTCCCCACATCTGACACACAGGGAATGTTTTCTGAAGGCACATATGTGTCCTGAAATGAAATGTCAGAATGGTGTTGTAATAGTGACTGTTAACACTTATCTGATGCATACCATGTTACAGTCATTAACAAGGGAGTATGATCTGTCATTCTCACAATGACCCCGGGTAGTGGGTGATAAGATGTTTACTTTCCAGATGGGGAAACTGGATCTCAAAGAGGTAAAGTGACTTATCTCAGGGCTCTCACAATGAGATATGAGCCAGGTTTAGACCCAGATTTCTTTGCATTGCTCTATTTTCCCTGTATATTCTGCCTCCTTTGTTTGAGATTAGGATTGTGCATGAAGAGAAAGAGAACTCCAGGTCACAGGTTGGAGGGGGTCTTACAAGTATTTCTAGGAACTATGTGAGTAGTTAAGTCATAGGGAGTGACTTTGGTTATAGAAATGGTGTATGAAGGCATAAGAAGAAACATGATAAACTACCAAGTTCAGAGGGCAGAGAAAGAGCTGGAAAGCTTGAACGCAACCACATTTGTATAAAGATTTCTTTTTTTTATTTTAAAAATAATTGTTTGTGGAAAGAGTGGAGTGAGGGAGGAAGGGCTAGGGTCTATAAAAGGTGATATTCCTGTGGTATATGTGGCTCCCAACCCACGCTTCTCTGTATGAGGTATGTGAGAAAGGTCATTCTTCCCGCTGGAGAGAGGCTGCATTGTGACCACTACCACTCCCCCAGGCCCTCCCTCCCAACAGGGTTGGAGGAAGGCTTCCTGCCTTCCAGACAAGAAACCAATTTAATCCTGAGTCTACAGTAAACTCTGGTTCCTCATCCTTGACTCTCTAATCCCAGACTTCATTTGACTTTTCCACTCTCTGTGCTCAAAATTCTTTCTGCCTTGTCCTCGTGTGATCATCAAAGAAGGCCAGGACTTGTATGTCTCAGATTCAGGTAGCTTTTGGTTCTAATGGTCATCCTTCTGGTACAAAATGGCACTTGAAATCAAAGCTATCCTTCTTTTAGGCAAAATATTTGAAAAGCAATTATTTTGACTCACTCCTTATGAATCATGGAGAAGGAAAGAATGAATAGTACCTTTCTGGTCAATGTAAGAGTTTTCAAAACAAGTGGTGTTTTTCTTATCTTCAGTGTTGATGCCAAAATATACTCCCCAAATCGAGTGTTGTGTTTCTAGTAGGAAGGGAAGCAGAAGTTGATAACTGAAATAAAGCTCTAATACTTTTCAATTGTAGTCTTCCTAGAATCACATGTACTATTTTGAAACCTTGAACAAATCGCTGTGTGTTGCTGGAAGGTGAGGGGTTTGGCCTAGGTGATTTCTCAAGCTCCTCTCTCTGAGTTCCATGGTTCTTTAAATTGATGAACAACACAGAGACACATAATGTTTTCAAGGTCTATAAAGGAAGACTGCAGGAGGTCTGAGTGTATTTCAGTTCGGAGTCTCTAGTTGATAATTGTGTGAAGACATTTAAAAGAGAAAAGTAGGAGGCAGAGGCATGGCTACGTGTGTGTTGCCCAGACAGGTGCTCTCTGTTGTGTGATCATTGGTAAAAGATGACACACACAGGTGCTTAAGGGCCACAGCACATGCTCAAAAGCTTGTGCTAACGGTACTGGACATTGCTTTCCTGTTGTGCTAAATGCATGGACACATCACAGTTACTTTTTCCCTTGCCTTTGCCTCCTACCAGATAAAGTAGCTGAATCTGACCATCTTAACTGGGAGGGGGCCTTGAGATGAGAATGTCCTTGAGGAGAATTTCAAAATTAATGGATTGTTGCTTAGTGCCTCTTACTGAGGTAGTTATAATCGGAAGAACTACAGAGGAAAGAGGGCCGTAGGAGGTGAGAATTTCGTCTTTATTTTTGACTTGGTGAGAGTGGATTAGGTTTGCATCTTATTAGGAAATGGTACTTCCTGAGCAGGCACCTTAATGCACAGCTTTCCTGTAATTATGGGAAGATGTTACTCCTTCATGGAGAGGAAATAATAAGATTTTTTTTTTTTTTTTCTGAGAATCCATTGAAGGCAACTAATCTTTTTACCAGGAGAGTGCAATTATATACTTTTATAAGAGAGATGCATAGTTCTAAAATCAAGCTGTTTTTCCTTCTCTTGCCTGATTATGAAACCTCAGTTCTTGTGGTATTTTCTCATACTGGGAAAAGAAAGCTTTTTAACTGGCACTTAACCACCCCAGTGGAACTAACTTGTTGGATTATGTTGTTAAGTATAAATACATACTCACGTAGAGGAGGCTGCGCTGGCAGCTGTCTTTTAAAATGGCTGCACCTTTTTATATGGCAGGTTTGAACATTCTCCTTAATTTCCAAAGGGGGTTTTAAAAAGGAAAAGAGGGGGCGCCTGGGTGGCGCAGTCGGTTAAGCGTCCGACTTCAGCCAGGTCACGATCTCGCGGTCCGGGAGTTCGAGCCCCGCGTCAGGCTCTGGGCTGATGGCTCAGAGCCTGGAGCCTGTTTCTGATTCTGTGTCTCCCTCTCTCTCTGCCCCTCCCCCGTTCATGCTCTGTCTCTCTCTGTCCCAAAAATAAATAAACGTTGGAAAAAAAAATTTTAAAAAAAAAAAAGGAAAAGAGGAATAAATTAACTTTTACAAAAGAATGCACGTCTTTCTGACCCCCGAGCCTTATATATATCCTGCACAGAACTATTTGCTCATGATGGGAACATTCAGACATTATATGTAAACAGTTTTAGCTTTTAATTTTTAACTAGTACTTTTAAAAAAGTACTAGTAAAGATGTGTGGTAGAGTTTTTGTCCCCCTCTTTACTTAGACTTGGGACTGGGAAACCAGAACAGAGGCTGCCCAGGTTGTCTGTGTAAGGAGCCTGATTCTCTACCTGCCAGACTAAGTCACAGTGAAACTGCTAAGGGACGCAATGAAGTGACCCACGGCCAAACCCTCTAGCCAACTTAGGACTTCCTCAGAAGCATTTTTGGAAAATGTAACTCTTCCCAGGGCGTTGAATTTTCTTTCAGTATATCTCACTTCTAGACCACAGGAGAGGATTTAAAATTTTACTACTTAGTAGTTGAAAACACAGAGAGCAAAGGAGTTTTAAAAATAGAGAGGCAATGAGGAAAAGTTAATGGGAGTTAGGAGAACTCTCAGATTTGGCTCAGAATCGGTGTTCCTGAACTTCCATTTAGTCCATTAGCCTGCCTTTTCTCTCTCTAGTAGGAACTGAACCAGAGGAAAGAGGCTTAAATGAACTAGGAGGAATTTTTAGGCCATATGAACTCTTACAACAAACAGATACCAGAATGGATCATCAAAATAAACCACAGAGTCTCCCTCCTAACTGAATTTCAGTTTCTAAAAAGGCATTCAGCTAAGGATGGGATTTCTGAGACAAAGAGGCAACCTACTGAGATTGCTTCTCGCCACAGGAGGATACCATTTGAGAGGGAAGTAAAGGGATTTGGGAATATTTCAGGAGCCTAGCAGGTAGACTCTAACTTTGCTGATGAGAATGGCTTCTGTGGTTTAAAAATCTTTATACAAGTTGATATGGGTGCTTGTAAGGAGTGGAAGTTGGGTCCTCTCTTTGAGAATCTAGTATGGTGGAATCAGACTATGTGGAGAATTTAGAGCTGACACTGTAGATACCAAAAATGTATTCTGATGTCTAGGAAGAAGAGGGACTGATCCCGGTGCCGAGTCTTTAAAGTTAGAGCTGTTGT